CCCCCGCTTTTTTTTTTTAAAGCTGGAAGTGAAGGAAGCTGTGGCTCCAGTGGTAGAGTGCCAGCCTTGAGCATAAAAAGCTCAGATACAGCACACAGGACCAGCACCAAAACAAACAAAAAAAGCAACGTAACCTATAAAGCTAAGTATGGTGGTATTCCTTTATTATCTCAACTACATGAGAGTCATAAATAAGAGGATCATGATCCAGGATTGTCCTGGGCAAAACTCAGGACTCCATTTGAAAAATAACTGAATAAAAACAGCTGGAGATATTGTTCAAATGGTAGAGCACTTGCTATACAAACCTAAGTTCAAACCCTACTATTGCCAGAATAGACAGATGATAGATGGATGGATGGATGGATGGATGGATGGATGGATGGATAGATAGATAGATAGATAGATAGATAGATAGATAGATAGATAGATAGATAGATAGATAGACAGACAGATAGATTGATAGAATGAGAATATTTTGTTATAAAAATACAATAAAAATTCCAATTAAATGAAATATATTAAAAATTATACTATACTAGTTTGAAATCTACTTTCTTATTCTCAAGTTCACATTAAATGTCTTTGGCCTTTCTAATATTCATAAAACAGCATGCAGAATTTTCAAGAATTATTTGTTGAACTATTAAAGAGTTAAAGAGCGCTTCATCATGGTTGTTTGCTCCCTGTTTTTATAGGGAAAGGCCAGCAGCAATCCCTATAGAAATAAAAAGTATTGATGACACTTCAAATTTTGATGACTTCCCTGAATCTGATATCTTACAGCCAGGTAAGAGAGTTTTATAATAAGTTGTCATTCAGAAGTTGAAGATGATGATAGTTCACTAATGACAGTTTTTTTGCCCATGGTTCCTTTTTCCTCTCTAGTGCCAAATACCACAGAACCTGACTACAAATCCAAAGACTGGGTTTTTCTCAATTATACCTATAAAAGGTTCGAAGGGTTGACCCAGCGTGGGTCTATCCCCACATACATGAAAGCTGGGAAATTGTGAATGAAGGTCACCTTCACCCACAGCCAAGAGAACTCAGGTAGATGCATCACAAGGCTGGCTTGGAAATATGACACTGAAGACTGTGGTGCTTACTGACTGCAGAGGAAACACTTCCGGTTTAAGGGTTTGTAGGACTACTACCGGAATGGGTAATGCTAACTAGCTATGTTTTTTAATATATTTTTTCACTTAATTATATGAAGGTACTAGAATACAAGGAATGTACATACCTTTCTAACTGCACTACCTATGTGCATATTAAGGTCCATTCTGCCTGTGTGTACTGTGGCTTTGAACTGTAACAGCTCTAGTCAGTTCAGGAGAAATACATATCCTTTAAATCCGGGTAAGCTAATCTATAGTAACACTGTGGTCCTGCTGATTTTGCTGATTTACTGTACATGTTATGGGTCTAGGTAATCAGTACAAGCCATCTTCCATAGTTAGTGCTAGAACATTCACCCTGCTGGTTTGGACATATATAGAATATGAAGACAATTTTAGTGATGGTTTTTAAGACATTTAAAAAGAAATACACTACATCCTTAAAAATATAATTTATTGTCAAGTCACTACATAAACTCCACAGTTGGGAGTGACATGTTTCTAATAAGGAAGAGGAAGTTTAACACCTTCACTCAAAACCCCACTAAGATACTTAATTTGCATATAGAAGTATTGATGAGCTTTATTTATATTCATAGTCTGTATATTCATAGGGAAATATCCTGTATAATATAAAATGTAAAGTTGCTTTTCCTGTGACAGGATTCTTTTTTTTTTGACAAGAAGACATGACAATAATTTGAATTTCAGAAATGATCATGAAAGCTATTTGTAGAACCTAGTATATTTTTATTTAACTATTTTTTAATGTCAAATTTCTGATCTTGTAAAAAGACTTGCAGAGAACTTAGAGCTACTTTGGTTTTCTAGAAAGTTGCTACATATCATAGCTGGTAACCTTTTAATACTTCTGATGAAATTTTTTCCTTTGTTAAACTTGTATTGTTGTGTCAATGTTTTTATTTATGCTCCAAAAGTACCAAAGAATCTGAACAGAGTAGGTGATCCTATGGGAACACTGCATTCAAACAGAAAAGATTTTGATAATGGCCAGCCCTGTTCGGGTTCAGTTCCATCACTGTGGTCAGTACCATGGAACCAAAAAGGAAGAACAGACCAGAGGGTTGTCATTAGAGTACTGGGCTGATAATGTCCCTTCAAATTCTCCGAGCATTTACCTAAGAATCAAGTAGTCTTTAATTGTTCAACATTTTATTGTAAATTGACCTTGCAGGGTTCTGGCTCTACAGTTGAAAAATAATATGTTGCCAAAGAATGACCTGTTTATTCTGTTAATTGATAGAATTACAAATCCTCTTCCAAACCTTAAGCAATGATTTATGTGCAGGAGTGTCTTTCCTAAGGGAAAACAATTATATACAAACATTATGCAAATCTACAAAAGCTTGGGCTCAGTGGTAGAGCGCTTGCCTTGCATGCATGAGGCCCTGGGTTTGATTCCTCAGCACCACATAAGCAAAAAGAAAAAAGCTGGAAGTGGCACTGTAGCTCAAGTGGTAGAGTGCTAGCCTTCAGCTGAAGAGCTGAGGGACAGTGCCCAGGACCAGAGTTCAGGCCCCACGACTGGACACACACACACACAAAAATCTACAAAAGCTTTTATAAATGTGCTGCTAGTAACTCCACAAAATTCCAGTGAGGCTGCTCTTGTCTCTTATTTGTTCTTGTATTTTCAATGATTTGGTGAGTTCTTATGTGTTCATCTAGAGTCCATCTCTGGTTTTCTAGTTTGGGTCATGTGGCCCAGTACTTAAGAGAGGAACTATAAAAATTGAACTCCACTAACTGATCTTTCTAGTTATAGCTGCCTTTATTTTAAAACAAGACAAAAAAACCCCAAAACAACAAAGAAAGACCCTTAACATCTAAAAAGGTTTATGAGATTTTCCAACTTCTGCTCACGTCATTGTTAAAGGGATTGCCATAGCTAAAAGATATTTTTTCTGAAATGTTAATATTGAGAGCATAGAAGATGACTACCTTGCTGCAACCATAAATATTTCCTGTTTTATTTAAATTTTACTCATTTTTAAAAGGACTATATTGCCAGTGTAATGAATAGATAAGATATGAAGAAACTTCAATATTCTTTTGTTGATGCATGCTAACTATTCTAGTTTAGAAAATTCATGAATTTAAAATAACTGAAAGGAAAATTGAGACTAATGGAGAGGAATTAACCAAATTGCTTCTAATTGTATCATAATGGAACATCTTATTTTCAGAAAGAACATGAAAATAGCTATAATTTCTTAACAGTGGCAAGTTTACTTGCTGTAGCATCACGTTTTACCCTGGCATTGAATGATTTACAATCTAGTGGGAATTCTTATTAAAGCATTTCTAAGTGCCTATCTAAAAGCAATTAAAGACTGTGTCTGCCCTTTGGAAACTAAGAATTTCATTCATCATGCAAATTAACCAGATAATTTGCAAAAGACCCTTGAGAGTGACTTTTGTCTGTTGCCCATTTTCCATGTTTCAGGTGAATCATTTAACTGAAATGGCAAAACTATTTAGTCAACTAGGTATAATGACATTTTCTTTAAATTAGACTAATTTAAGAGTTTTATTATAAAGTGCGTGTTGGGTTTTCTAAGTATATGGAAAGCTGTACAGTTTAGATTTCTTGGTTCCCTAATGTAGACTTTGACCTTTTTTAATTAAAAAATGTTTGTATTAAAAAGCAAGTTACAATGTTTTTCTTTTATATATTTGTTGACATAGATTTAAAAATCTAAAAATATTGAAGCATCAAGCTGTCTGAAAATAGAAAATCATCACTTACAAGTCAACCACTTTAAAATCTACACATGGTTTAATAATCTTGTTAGTTTCATGGAAACACCAAATGTGGACTCTTGAATCTTTGGTTGCTAAAGCTTAAAATAGTTTTAATTCCATAACAGCATATGGGTTTTCACACCTATGTAACTTTGCATGTTCATTCAGAAATTAAAGTATTTTAGGGTAGAAAATCTTTATACAACCCCTCAGTCTCTCCTGGTAGGAGAAACCTCAAATAAATTAAGATTTATTTATATATTTATGTATGTATTTATATATGTATTTATTTTGTGCATGCATACTGTAGCTTGAACTCAGAGCAGCATATTCTTACTTAGCTTTTTCACTCAAGGCTGGTGCTTTCCCACTGGGGCACATCTCCACTTCTGGTTTTTTTTTCTACCTAATTGGAGATTAGAAGCTCAAGGACTTTTCTGCCTAGGGTAGTCTAGTCTCAGCCTCCTGAGTAGAGTTACATGTATGAGCCTTCTGTAAAGAAGTCTAATTTCCATGATAATCCAGATGATTAATAAAGATAATATATTGCTCTAGAACCTCCTTCAGCACCCCTTTGGCCACCAAATTATAGAGCATGCTTCTCTAGCAGATTATACATGCACTTAGGATCTCAGAAAAATGTACGGATGATATGACAGAGTTGTTACTTGGGGGAATGACTGCAAGTGACATTGGGTAAAATGGCTTCACCAATAAGGAATATGGGGAAGTCACAGTAGCTCCTGCGTGTGTGGGGGACATGTTAAAGCAGCCCAGGGAGTGTGGAGTTCTACAAGGGAGAAAGAAACATTGTTTAAATCTTCAGAAAGTTGCATTGATCAGAGCCTAGATTTTACCATGGACATTTCTCACCTGACATTATGTGATCAAGTTCCATCCACACAATCTGACCAGGGCCTTGACCCAATTACTCACACAAAAGTGAGGTGATTTCAGACAGCTGGGTCTGTATCCCAGTATACCCAAACTTGATTTGCTAAAGCTGAGAAATCAGATAATTGGAGGGCTGCACATGGTCATGTTATTTGAGTCCACAGCAGAATTAAAGGCAAAAGGACGGTGAGCTGATTCTCTGGTATACTTCCCAGTATTTTTTTCCAAATTAATTAGTAAAGAACAGGTGTGTCCCCCTTCCATTTGTCCTGCTGCAAATAGTTAATTGTTGGAAAAATTATCAAATACTGGGAATACATGAAAATGTTTACCCACCTTTGTTTCTTTCTCTTTCTTTCTTTTTTCTTTCTTTCTTTCTTTTTTTCCTTCTTTCTTCCTAGGACTTGGAATGTGTGAAAATGTTCACATTTATTTCATCTTTTTTTGTGTGTATTTTGTTTTGTTTTGAAGTAAACGCTGCTAGGCACCCATGCCTCAAACCTGTAATCCTAACTAGTCAGGAGGTTCAGATCTGCCAGCAAGGGCAGGAAAGTCTATGAGACTCTTTATCATCAGTTAAACTCCAAAAACCCAGAATTGGAGCTCTGGTAGAGTGCTAGCTTTAAATACAAAAATCTAGGGACAGTGCCCAGACCCTGAGTTCAAGCCAAAGGACCAGCACCTCAATAAATAAATAAAGTGCATATTTTTACATTCTTTTTAAAAAATTATTTTCTACCATTGGGACTTAAACTCAAGGCTGGGATGCTGGCCCTTAGTTTGTTTTGGCACTCTACCATATGAGCCATACATCCACTTCCAAATTTTTGCTGGTTAGTTGGCGATAAGAATTTCTTACCTTTTTCCTGGGCTGGCTTGGAAACAAGATCTTCAGATCTGAGCCTGCTTAGTAGCTAGGATTAGAGGGAGGCATGAACAACTAGGGGCTGGCAGAACTCTGTTTCTTAGCCAGTGACACAAAGATCAGTTATGGTGAGTGAGCACAGGTTTGCTGGTCAGTAGTGGGAAAGACATCCCCTGCATTGGGCTAGGGGTCTGCTTGGTGCCTAGTTGGTGTTGCACTCCCATTTTGGCTGGGGCAACCCAGAAATGTACCTGAGTCTCCCATCAACCAGGTCCCTATCCCATACTCGTGGCTTTGGTCTGGTACACTGTATTCTCAAAATGAGTACACTGAAAAATTCTGAAGTTTATTTTCAATTTTAAAACCAGGACAACAGGGGCTGGGAAGGTGGCTCAGTGTAGAGTGCTTGCCTTGCATGGGTTCGATTCCTCAGCACCACATAAGCAGAAAAAGCCAAAGTCATGCTCTGGCTCAAGTGGTAGAGCGCTAGCCTTGAGCTGAAGAGGGACAGCACCCAGGCCCAGAGTTCAGGCCCTACGACCAGCAAAAAACAAAACAAAACAAAAAACGGGACAACAGCAGTTTCAGGTTATCTGCCTCTGAACTTTTGGAAATTTCTTGTTACTATTTTCTTTTTATTTATTTATTTATTTTTTTTGGGTCCGG